TTTTATAGAAGGTAAAAGCTCATATGATTGGTTGAGGGCCGTCGTCCAATTACGTAGCCGTTTGCGCCGACGCATCATATGTACTAATTCGGATGTCACGTACGCCCAGTGTACCATTGGTCGAGCTTCCTGAACGGGTGACATGAAACTGTACCTCGTCGTGCATGGATTGCGGTCACGGAAGTCTGGATCACCACATTTACCCACGATGGCGATTGGTCTGAATCCATCTCAGATTGATACCGTGGGAATTCTCAGATAAAAGTTACATTTCTTTTGTCAGGATAGGATAGTCGAATGCCCCACGGTTACGTGATTCGTCAATCCATAAAACAATCGATCGACTAAGGGGCTCCGTTTGCGGCAAAATGCGAAATTCATATGATGAATAGAACCAATTAAGTTACCAATCATGGACACGGACACGAATTACAAATGACCAGGCTATTCTGTTGTCGGTTTCACTTGTCTTCACTATTCGATACTTCTTTTGCTTTAGAAAAGTTTGCGCTCAGTATTACTGATCGAATTTGCAAATGCATAAGCCTACACCTGACCTGTAAATTGCCAATAATCAATGTGATTCTAATTCTATTTCTACAAGATGTGAAAAATAAGGGCATGCACTGAAAATCGTAGGAGAACTTACCGGCACATCACCTCGTCTGTTCCTGGTCGTATATCCCAGTTTATAAACGGTCCACGTTTGCGCAAATAGGTGAGGAGAAATTGGAGCGCTCTTTTCTGATCATTACTGATGTAGGATCGTAGTTCCATGATACACGGAAATCGGATGTATTTGCTTACCGCTAGAAAATACAGAAAATTTAAACAAAAACCAAAGCAAATGTAAATAGGGATTTATGAGACGTGTTCATCATGCAATTAGCGAGGCGAAGACAGCACAAGCAACAGTCTGGTGTCTCAAGTATGACAAATCACTATTAGTGATCTTCTATTTTCGTCCAGGTCATTGGGCATCATCATTGATCGGTTTGTTTAAATGCATACACATGTGCCGCGAGAATTCAAACGTAAAGTTTTACAATGCTATGCTTTGATCTCGATCGATCACACACGCGTTTGTTTATTTAAATCAAAATGAACAAGAACGATTAAAACACCACCACCCCCGAAAAAAAAAGATAAACAAGTAGCAGTATCAAATACAACGCACAAACATTTCAGCTAATTTCATCACTACGGATTGAGTTTCACCAACTGTCTGTTTCATTCCAACGGGTTAGCGAGTACTAGTTAAAGGAAGGCTAATAATGGTGGTTAGATTGTTACTGGGAATAAAAAAGAATGTTTTTGACAAGGGCAACTTCATCAGATGCGTGGTATTTGGATTCTCAGGTAATCTTGTCGGCTGTGTGCATACATACATACATACATACACACACATACATACATACATACACACATACATACATACATACATACGCACATACATACATACATATATACATACATACATACATACATACATACATACATACATACATACATACATACACACATACATACATACATACATACATACACACACACATACATACATACCGACCACGTTTTGTTTAAAAGATGATGAGATTATCACGAAATAGTTGAATTCAACACATAGCATGTGATCACAGTGCTCCTCCTTCTGGCACTCAAGAAAGAGGAGCATTGCAGAGTCAAAAAAAAAACAGAGAACGCAAAAGAAGTAAATTATGGGGATAAAAACGTTTTTTCTTGTTTACTGCACGCCATTTTCAAGGTTGTTTATTTATTTTATTATTGGGAATGGACACCGATATGGGTGCATTCATGACACTGACTTTGGCTCGACACCATATCCCGCAGTGTCTTCAGCTCAAGGCAATCTGAATATTCGGATCTCCAATCGGGGAACCCCGATGGAGCATAGTCAGACGATACAGTGAAATGGTTTTGCTCAGTGAAAAACTATCTCACCGTACCATATTGTAATACTCGAATAGGAACCGGAATTGAACAGCGCGAACTTGAACTCGGACTGAAA